TACACCGGGAATCGAGAGATAAGGAATAGAGTAGAGTGTCCTCTAGGAGTGTCTGACAAATAGCAAACACTCAGATCTGAAGTCCTATTTGAAGGACTTGTCGGCTTAAACTGGTATGAAATTATTTCATGTAATGTGTACTGCAGTATAGAAAGACTTTGGAAATGTTTGGAAAAAGTTCAGATCAATTAAAACATTCGATTGGTTAACCTATTTAGCTATCGATACAAATATGATATGACTTTTAGACATTAAGTAAAGTTAAAGTATATTTCAATTTTTTTTGATGATATACTATATCTCGTAGTCGTACTTCATATTAATGAATGGGTTCACAAACATTCAAATAACTACATCAAAGGGAACACCTAATTTTCAAAGTATTCTGTTTATATTAATTTTTGAAATTGTTTAAATTATAATTCAAAAGTCAGCGAAATAAATGTTTATAGTGTACTAGTTCAAAGTTCCTTCCGTTTAGATAAAACATATATTTCTCAATTTTTGTTAAATTTATTGTATTTTTGAATTTGTCTTTCAAACAAATTTTGTGAAAATTTGTTTTTTAATTATTATGGGATTTGTTGGAAGAGCTTCTGAATTATAAGCCAATATTGAAAACTATAAAAGAATTGGTTTTCAGCCAAATATCAATTGAGTCAATAGTGATGTACTCAAGTCATCAGTAAAAGTCACGACTCAAAAACATGTAAAAAGTTATGTCATTTGATAGGAATCTCGAAATACTTTTGCAATTCTTACTATCAATTTAAAAAATCAATTTTGTTTTGAAAATAGTGATTTCGACTGATATTAGACTCCCGAATGACTTTCCAGAATATTGGAGGCTAACAAAGAAAATATCTATTGATACATTTATATTTGTTATTGTTAAACTATACTGACAGTTATGTGTGTTTTAGACAAAACTAACTTTTAAAAACTTGAAATTTAGAAACAGCAATCAACTTTCATTTGTAGTGAAAATGACAGGATTTGATAAACGGAATTAAATTGAATAAACCGTTATTCAGAACTCCATTCAAATTCTTGTTTATAGAACTTTACATTTACAACCATTACTTTATTAATTTGTACACTTTAACTAGTGTCATATAACAATATAACTTTTAATTTAATTATTTATTTATATAGCAGTTAGTATGTTACAAAATTTAAAATAAGAATAGTTCATTAAAGAACATTTTGAAAATGTCTGAATTTTTAAGAAAATTATAACTGACTACTGAATGTTAAACTAGAAATTTTGTAAATTTACATTATAACAATAAATGTTAACAACTATAGTAATGCTAATTACTGAATGAATGAATGAAGACATTCATTGATGAAAATTTTAATTTATCTGTCAATATCACAGAAAATTGTTTATGAATTTTACGTTTGTTTTTGTATCAGAAGTGAGAAAAAGTGTAATTTATTGAATCAAGTGTAATAGTAAAATCAAATCAAATATTTTTATGGAAAATTTTAAGTGTCAATACACGTGCCAAAATAAGAATGAGGATATTAATATTTGTTTTAAAAATAGTGTTGCTTAATTTTTATTACAAATTTCATCAAAAATTAATTTTTAAAATTATTTAATTTGTTTAAAGTTTGACTTAAAAAATCGGTTTCTGAGGGGTTGAGTGCTCTAAAAGCTATATATTTAACAGACATTTGTTATCAAATTGAGATTATAATGAAGTCAAGTGCACTTAATTTAAACATGTGTTCAATATATCAATTGTAAAAATAGTTTTCGCAATCATTATATTTGGTGAGAATAAGCAAAAATAACTTTCATTCAGACATTTTGATTTTGAATTTCATAGACTGATTGACGCTTTCTCTTAGTTTTTATTTTTATGACATCATATAAAGAAAAATCAAGAAAAACCTGAAATTAAATGTAATTACTTTGAATGTAAAAACAATCTAATTTATTAGTGACTTATTTGGAAAACATATTGAAGTGATAGTAAACAAAAACATGAGTTAGTCATGGAAATTTCTAGTTAGTTAAACAATTTTCTAGTATATTAGTAAATTATGTGTATTTGAACCTGAGGCATTTATTAATTTTATTTTCTGTTAATGTGTTTTTGCATTTGTCCTATTATAATGTGAGTTGCTCTGCCGTGGTTTAGAAAACATTTTAAATTAATAAGTGATATACAACTGAACGACTAAAATATAAATATTATTATATCGTATATAATTTAGATTTTAGTTATAAACTTATAACTTCCTTCTTTAATAAAAAACCTTGAAAAGAAGTTATTTACTATTGATTTTAATACGAAATTATCTTAAATTTAAAAATATTTTTTTATCAAGACTTTGCTATAGAAGTTTAATACACAGAGAAATCAATTTTTGATTTTAAGTTTCTTAATGCAAATAAAACCTTCAAATGTTTGTAATTACTAAATGTTTGTAATTGTTTTACCCGTACTTTTGTAATCTATTCAATACACAAAACTGTTTTTATAATAAAATATACAATACTTATTTATTGAAACATATGTTATATTAAAGTATACGACAAATAAGTGAAATAACTCCTAGATTTTTATTTTTAGATTTCAAAATCATTTCCATTTAATTTCAAAGTAATTAAATAAATATATAAATAAGTTAACAGTTGTTTGTTTAAACTAAATTCCATACAATATATTTATTATAAATTGGTTATTTAGTGTTAACCATAAAGTAAATTAGGTTTACTCATTTAACCAAATATTTTGTATATTAGAATAAAACATAATTATAATATACAAAAATATAAAATTTATTTTAAAATAAATCTTAAAATTCCACAGAATTTAAATTATATAAAACATTTAGTAAACGTGTAAACCATTTAAAACATAATTTATTGATACAATTATTTTTAATAAACTTGCAAACATGCTTATTAACCAAATGAATTCAATCATTGGATTTTTAATTTAATTAATAAAATTATCATTCACCTTCATTTCAATAGAAATTAATTGTGAATAATTATAATATCATATAAAACAATAAGAGACAAAAATAAAATAAAATTCTGTTTTATTTAGTGATAGAAAACAGTAGAGAATATTCAAGAAATAATATTTTCATATAAAAATTTAGTGATTTTTGTCTAAGAATTCTTTGATGTATTTGTTGACCAGATCTGGTCTATCAAAGGGAGTCCAATGCGAACAGTTGTCTATGATTTTGATGGTGTAGTTGTCACACGATTTACAACTATCTGCGGCCAGGCTTTCGGTGAGTGCGATGTCATCCTTACCCCAGAGGACAAGTGTGGGAGCAGTGATTCGCTTGTCCTTCACTTTATTGAGATAATGTGCGGCATAATTGCGCTGAAGGGCCCGGTAGTAGTTGATGGGAGGTGTGAGAGCACCAGGTTTGCAAAAGTAGTATTTATAAGCATCAATATCATCTTTGGTGCCCAACTTCTTGAATATAAAGTCAAACACTTGTAAGTCATTGCACCTGAATCGCAGCTCCGGCAGGAATGGTAGGTTAAAGAAGTAGATATACCTATAGTATGAATTCATTGACCGTATATTGATTTACTTATGAATTGATATAAAACGTAAGGGTAAGTACCATGATGAGAGAAACTGTTTCCAACTGCCCTCAATGGTGTCCATAAAATGTTTGATTTGCGGGGCATTACATACGATAAACTTGTCGACCAGTTCGGGGTATTGTGCGGCTGTAGTCCATCCCACGAGTCCACCCCAATCGTGGCACACAATTATGCACTTCTTTTTGCCCAACCCGTGCACAACGTCTCTAATATCATCGACCAGTTTATCGACCGCATAGTTGGCCACACCTTTCCGTACATTTCATGCAATTAATATAAATTGAATATAAAACCAAAGTATAATATAAATTATATAAATTAACATTAATAGTACCCAAAGGTTTATCGGAGTCTCCATAACCTCTCATATTGAGTGCAACCGTATAATAATTGTCAGCAAATACTGGCAATTGTTTTCTCCACGAATACCATACTTCTGGGAATCCGTGAATGAATAACATTAACGGCTTCTTTGGATCGCCTTTTGAAACGTAATGTAGTTTCACATTCTGGTAGAGATATCAAGAGAAGTTACCACAAGATATTTCACTTCTCTCTCTCTCTCTCTAATAAAAAATAAAGTAACCTTTGTTTGAATGAAGTGATGTTCGCCTAAATTTCTATCCATAAGACATGCCGGGGGTTTCGGTCTATCGTTGACAGTGAAGAAACTCTTCCTCTTAAGAATAATCTGCATAACAGTTCCAAAGCCAGTGAGCGCTCCATAAAGTCCTGCCATTCCATAGCAGAAGAAATATCCTCTAATAGTCCCAAATGGGAACAGAGAGGCCGGGGTC